AGTGTGAAGAAGAAAATAGCATAAAAGTTAAACAACATGCAGGCAACAAGCCAGAGAAAGGGGAGCTTCAGATGCAATAGAGAGGAAGCGTCCGAGGAAGATGAAAGGTATTTTGTTGGTTGGTTTCTGCAAATAGAAAGCAGAAAGAACCCAGAGGGCACGGGACCCACGGGGACCATCTAGGGCGAGGCGCGGCTCCCGCCACTAGGCGTCACCAGAGCAGCGTCGATGGCCTGGAGCCCCGGCCAGGCTGGGAGCTGCGGCAGCTGCCCTTGGAGACAAACCAGGCCGTCTGACCAAGACTTCTGGAAAAGACCAGGTAGGAAAAGGCTCTGGCCATGGATTAGAAGCTTTCAAAAGACACACTCCAGTAGGCCTCTTCACCCTAAAGCGTCCTAAATTACCTACGCTCCCCGCTTCCCGACATCATTTGTCAGGCAGGAGGGAGAAGGCTGGAGTGAGCTGGTGGAGGAAAGGGGTGATTTCTCACCAAGAACTTTCCATCCAGGCAGCACCTGGAGCCCAGCACCTCACCTTTGCAGAGTTCAGAGAGAGCCTGCAGCCAGCCTCAGGTTACACAGCCGCACAGGTCTGCTGTCTTAGCCCAGCAGCAGGGCCAGACAGAGAAGCAGCCATCCCCAGTCTCCCATCTGCACCCCACTCGCCCCGCCTCTCAGATTGGAAAACATTTTTCAGAATAATTGGAGTCCCCTGCGATATTTAAGAACGAACTTTACAAGTTGCTATTCTAGACACATTTTCGCTTTGGGTGAGAAGAAGATACTAAAAAGCTTTAAGACGAAAGCCACACGGATATCAAAAGTGCACGTGGGGCGTCCTCCACGAAGCACACTGCGAAGTCACCCTTTTGGAGGGAACTCTGAGAGCATCTGGTCCTGTAGTTTAGTCCACCAGTGAGACCAGTGTAAGTGCCCGGGGCCACACAGCGAGTGTGAGGCATTTTACCTCCAACCAACTGAAACCCCCACCTACAGGGGGTCTCCTCAGCCCAGTCTCTGTACTCTGTGGGCTGCAGAAAGGTCTTGATAGGTCATCCTGCCCCTATCAAAAGTCCAAGAGATGCATGGTGGGCAACGAAGGGAGAGAGTGAATAAAGGAGAAGTGAAAGTCTCATCCCCACACCAGGGGAGGCCGCGCTGCAGAAGGGGTCACTGGCCTGTGCCTTCCCGCACCTCCCCAAGGGAAGTATCCAACCCTTGTTATATGGGAACTGTGGACTGATGGCCGACACAAACACCTGCATGCGTGGAACACTGATTATACAATAATAACTACTAGCGGCGTCATGAATATCACTATTATTAACTCTTGCAGCACCCAGCCCCCGCCAGGCATCTGACACGTGACTTCTAACCCAATGGTAACTCTGCAAAAGTGCACCCTGTCGTCTCCATGCTGCAGAGGACAAAATAGTTGAGGAGACAAAGTGGCTTGCCCAGACCACACAGCTGGGGACGGAGGAGGCCGGCTCACACCCTGTCGCCTTGCCGGGGCTTCCTCCTGCACTGCTCGGCCAGTCCCTGAGCAAGTGAAAACCTGGCTGCTCAAACTGAAAGGAAATGTAGTGATTGCCTCTCGAGGAAGCTTCTGGAAGAGGTCGGCAAGGGTAACCATACACACACATATGCAGCAGGTATACCCAAGCATACACAAAATACAATGGAAATGCCGTGTATAATTCCAGTTCCAGCACCCAGTGTCTCTCACTGAAGCGCAGGTGAACACCTCACCTCAGTCAGATAAAGAGAAATGCCTCCCACTGCGTATGGGCCAAATTCCTTCTCTGTGCAGTTGTTTGGATTCTGCACATCCATTTTTCTGTGGTCCCCACTGTCCACATGCTTCTTGGCTATGCCATTAAGTGGGCACACTTCGAGTGGCTGAAAATTCTCACACTCTCAGGTCACAATTGTGATGGCACGCTGACGTGGTCCCTCGACGGGCCCCTCTTCTTGGCTCGCCAGGACCTGTCTTTGCACTGGGTGCTCCCTAAGGATGGGGCTGCCTTATCCATCTCCTGATGTCCAACATCTGTCCCGAGCTTGGCACAAGAGCCCCCAGACCTCCCACTCTGGGCCCTCAAATTTCAGGTGCTGTTGGTGGCAAAGGAATCCAGGAAACAGGGCAGACCTCACTGAAATCATGATTTCAGCCTTGGGCAATGTCCTTGTATCTTTCTAGAATCCCCAGTGCCACCAACTGCTAGATACTCGTGGTTACTCCTTGACCCTGAGCTCTGTGTCTCCTAATTGAGGAGACTATGTCACAGCCAAATGAGCTGGTGCCTTCTCTTTCCAGAAACTACCACGAGGTAGTTAGTCTCTGATTCATCATGCTTACTCTTACCCTGTGTGTGCATGTGTGGTCTCATGTGAGGGTGTGTGTGTGTGCATAAAAAGCCACTTAATATGCACAACATATGACATGGTAACTGCCACTGCATGCCAAGTCACTTTTTAAATATATTTTTCTTCATGATAACTTCATACTTCATTTGTAGACTGCTTCACACAACAGCTTTGTGCTTGCTTTTTAATCACTTGTAGGCCTGGTTCACAAATACACCTGGGAGTGTAGATGTAATGACGATGGCATTTCTTATCAGCAGCAGGAAAAGACTGAGTATTTAATAGGTGGTATTAGAAGAACTGAGTAGCCACCAGGAAGAAATGAAGGTAGGAACCACACCTCATACCATACATTCAGATAAATTACAGATGGATCAAATATTTATGTGCAAAAAAAAAAACCCTCAAAATGTTAAAAGAAAGCACAGCATTTTTGTATATAATCTCAGAATGGGGAAGTCCTTTCTCTAAGCATGACGCAAAACTCAAGCAACATAAAAGATTGTTAAATTCTCATCAATAAATTTTAAAACTGCATGGGGAAAAATTAAAGTCAAAAGTCAAGCAATCAACAAGGGAAAATATTCATNTTTTTCTTCATGATAACTTCATACTTCATTTGTAGACTGCTTCACACAACAGCTTTGTGCTTGCTTTTTAATCACTTGTAGGCCTGGTTCACAAATACACCTGGGAGTGTAGATGTAATGACGATGGCATTTCTTATCATATTTTTCTTCATGATAACTTCATACTTCATTTGTAGACTGCTTCACACAACAGCTTTGTGCTGGCTTTTTAATCACTTGTAGGCCTGGTTCACAAATACACCTGGGAGTGTAGATGTAATGACGATGGCATTTCTTATCAGCAGCAGGAAAAGACTGAGTATTTAATAGATGGTATTAGAAGAACTGAGTAGCCACCAGGAAGAAATGAAGGTAGGAACCACACCTCATACCATACATTCAGATAAATTACAGATGGATCAAATATTTATGTGCAAAAAAAAAAACCCTCAAAATGTTAAAAGAAAGCACAGCATTTTTGTATATAATCTCAGAATGGGGAAGTCCTTTCTCTAAGCATGACGCAAAACTCAAGCAACATAAAAGATTGTTAAATTCTCATCAATAAATTTTAAAACTGCATGGGGAAAAATTAAAGTCAAAAGTCAAGCAATCAACAAGGGAAAATATTCATAATTCACATCACAGATAAAGAGACAATTTCCTTAATAGTTAAAGACTTCCTACAAATCAATAAAACCAAAAACTCAAAAGAAGAAATGGGCTCAGGATATGAACGACCTGGGTTCGGATCCCAGCTCTGCCAGTGACTACCTGGTGTCCTTAAGCAAGCTACCTGACCACTCTGGATCTTGATTTCCTTGTCTGTAAAAGCATCCTGGCCTCACTGGGGTTGTTGTAAAGATTAATACATGAATATTCCCCAGTACTGACACTGTTTATTGCCTACCCACCCTTCTTCAAGACTAGGAGCTCCTTGGGGGCAAGGGCTGGGCCCAGCAAGGACCTTCCTGTCACACAGCTGTGGCTGATGAGTCCTTTTGAACTGAGCCTGTCTTGGGCCAGGAATGGCCAGATGGATCATGACAAAGGATCCAGTTCCAGTTCTTTGGCCTAAGGCTAGGTGGTTCCTGAGTCACTGGCAATCCCTGCTGGGGTCTCCACCATGCGCGTTAGAAGGAAGGAGAAAACACACAAGGACTTTGAACGGCAGATGCAGGCCTCTGCAGGACGCTGTAGCTGCATGGCACTGGGTGGAAGTTAAAATTCATAAACTGTTAATTAGCATGTGGAACAGGAAGTTTCTGAATAGCTTTACAGCGAGGCAATTGGCAGGCAGAGGGCCAGCACTTAAAAGCCTGGTTTAAAAGAGAGAGGCGGGGAAAAGGGAGGACAAAACAACCTCCACATCTCTGCTTCTTTTTACATCACAGCAACCCAGATTTCGTTTCTGCCCGGACATCCTATGGAAAATGGAAATAAAGCCATCTGCCCTCGTGGTGGGCTTTGCAAGGGCTTGCTTAGAGCCCTGCAATGACCAGGGCTGGGGAGAGTGCAGGAGGGTGTGTGTGCGTGCACGTGACTACCTTCCCAGGTCACAGAATGCTTTTTCCCTCCTGCTTTTAGAGCCGCACTGCTTCCGTGATGAGCCAGGACTTAGTTACATGTTATAGGGAGTACGATAAGGTGATGACTGTGGCCTTGATTCCATGAAACGAATGCTATGGCATGAAGTTAACATTTCTGGGGAGCTTGATTCCCAAATTTGTAACTCAGTGACCCTCTTCCTCCCTAGGCCTCAGTTTCCCTCTCAGGAGAGCGAGGCTCAGCTTTCCTAACCCGTCAAGGCCCTGCAGCTGCACAGGTGGAATGCACCCCATTTTCTGTAGGGCTCATGGCTGCTCTCTGGTGCTAACCCCAGTCCTGAGGGCGGCGGTTCCCAGGCATCTGCCACCCCGAACAGTGAATGTCCTCCCTGATGTTCGTGCCAGCTGCTGTTCTTCTGGTGCTCCAGTCACAGCCACGGCCTGCGTACTCATGGGCCAAGCCACCTGTCACCCAGTGCCCACTTTGGGTTAACTGCCCTCACCGTCTACGGCAGGGGATTGGGCATCAGACTTCACGCTGCTTGGAGACTCAGCCTGCTTTCAGGAGCTCGTATGTGCAGGACACACACGTCCTGTACTTCAGCCTGGAGGAAAGGATGATGCGCCAAGGGTTCCAGAGGAGACCTGCTGTCGAGCCTAAGAGATTCTACGAGAGCTCATCCCTGGCCACGAAGGCAGCTCCAGGCCTCTCCCAGCCCCTCAAGGCCCAGCCAGTGGCCGCTGCCTCCAGGAAGTCTTCCCTGACCTCACCAGCCTTCTTCAATCCTTGCAGGCTCCTTCTGACCAGTACCAACCGATCATCCACTCCAGACCAGGCGCTGCACTTGGGACAGGACACGTAGTCCCAGCCCTGTGCAGTCTCCCTCTCCTTGGAGCTCCCTACACTTTCTGGCCTCCTAATTACTGGCTCTAGTGACCCTGTGACTTCTCTTTTTTTGTTACCTGCCTTTTCTCATCTCTGTCTCTGCCCCCCACCTTCACCCCTAAGAACACACATGGCTTAGTGCTTAAGAACCAGACAGCCTGGGTTCAGACTCTGCTGTTCTGGCTCTGTGACCTTGGACACTTTATTTAACCTCTTTGTACCTCAGTTTCCTCATATGTATCATAAGGATCATAACAATACCACCTCACAAGACTGCCATGATGCAATTTTTTAATAAAGAGTTAAACTTTGTAAAGTTCTTAGAACAGTGCCTGGCCCAAAGTAAGCATCATATAAGGGTTAGTTTTAAATGAGCAAGGCATTTGTAGGGTAGGGAGCTATCTTAGTCCATTTGTGCTGCTAGAACAGAATACCAAAGACTGGTTAATTTATAAAACAACAGAAGTTTATTTGACTCACAGTTACAGAGGATGGGAAGCCCAAGAGCATGGCGCTGGCATCTGGCAAGGGCCTTCTTACTACATCATCCCATGACAGAAGGCAGAAAGACAAGAGAGGGTAAGTGCAAGAGAGCAAGAGACATTGCTTTTATAACAACCCACTCCTGCAATAATGACATTAATCCGTTTGTGAAGGCAGAGGCCTCATGACCTAATCACCTCTTAAAGGTCCCACCTCTCAACACTGTTGCATTGAGGATCGAGTTTCCAACAAATGCTTTTTTTTTTTTTCCTTTTTGTCTTTTTTCGTGTCCAGCAACAGATCGCAACCCTCAGTGTCGCGCCCGGACCGGACCGGACCGGCAACGGATCGCAACCCTCAGTGTCGCGCCCGGACCGGACCGGGGACCGGCAACGGAATCGCAACCCTCGGTGTTGCTCCCGCGCCTCGCTCAGCCAGTGAGCGGGAACCGGTCTGTATGTGGGATCCGAACCCTCGGGCGGGAGCGCCGCCACGCTCCCAAGTGGCGCACTGTAGCGGTGCGCCACCGGGCCGGCCCCAACAAATGCTTTTAGGGGGACACATTCAAACCAGAGCAGGCACACATCACCCCCCCCCCCCAGGGATCTCAAACTCAAATGCCTAGAGACATCAGACAACAAGCGAATGAGCAGAGCAGGCTGGGTGAGGACCGCAGCAAACTGGAGAGTTCCATGCCCTGCCTGAGCAGGCAGTGGCTACTCGGCTCCAGGGCTTGCTGCTCTGCAGTGATGCAGCCCAGAGTTACTGGAACTTTCCATTTTCAAGAGAAGCTATGTGATCATTAATTTTAGGTGTCAACTTGACCAGATTAAGTAATACCTAGGAACTTAGTAAAGCATTATTTTGGGGAGTGTCTGTAATGGTGTTTCCCAAAGAGATTAGCATGTGGGCGTGAGTGGACTGGGTGGGAAATATCCACCCTCAAAACAGGTGGGCACCATCCAATCCACTGGGGGCCTGGAGAGAACAAAAACAGAGGGAAAGGCAAGTGTCTCGTGCTATTTCAGCTGGAACTGGGATGCTTGCATCTGTCCCATCATGGACATCAGAACTCAAGACTCTTCAGCCTCTGGGTTCCAGTATTTATACCAGCAGCACCCCGGTTGTCAGGCCTTTGGCCTTGGACTGAGAATCTCACCGTCGGCGTCCCTGGTTCCGAGGCTTCTGGACTTGGACTGAGCCACACTATGGCATCCAGTTTGCAGACGGCCTGTTATGGGACTTCTCAGCCTTCATAATCACATGAGCCAATTCCCTTGATAAGTCCCCTCTCATATTTATATACGTGTCCTATTGGTTCTGTCTCTCTGGAGAACTCTAATACAAGCTACAAGTTCTGTTCGTTCTTTTGAGTGTTTGTTTTTTAACATGAAATTTTGCAACTTTTAAATGTTGGCAGCTAATTTAGAAAAAATAATCAACACAGTGAAGTCAAGGAAAACATATCCATGAACTGGATAAGGAAGCTGCCTGCAATCTCAGCCTTACACATTTTTTGTTCCAACAACTAGACTGTGAACATCCTGAAGGCACAAGGCCACTGTCTGTGTTCACTGCTCTATCCCAAGAGCCCCAAGCAGCGCCAGCCAAGGGTGAATGAGAGAGAGAATCATGCACGTGTAACAAGGAACGTGATGGAAACCAACAGTCACGGAGCACCAACTATGTCACAAGCACCATACTAGGTACTTAATGAGCCACCTGAATGCCACTTTGGCACGGTCACGATGGAAGTATTAGCTCTGCTTTCTAGCTATATAGAAACGGAGCTCAGAGGGGTTGTGTCGGTTGCCCAGTGTCACACAGCAGGGATGGTTTCCAGGACTTCCAGACTGCAGTGGCTAAAGCTTCCACTCCAAACTGCCTTGGGTTAGATGGATGGTAAATGAACAGATGGGAGAATAGGTGAGTAGATGATGGTTAATAATAGGTGGATGGATGAATGGATCGTGGATACGTGGATGGATGAATGACTGGCTAGATAGCTGAATAGATGGTAGATGGTTGGATAGATGATGGATAAATGGATGGGTGAATGGATGGATCAATGAATTGATGGATGGATGGATGGATGAACGGATCGTGGATATGCGGATGGATGAATGACTGGCTAGATAGCTGAAAAGATGGTAGATGGTTGGATGGATGATGAATGGATCTAAAAGCCCTTCCTCTAATAAAAGTTCCAGCACAAACTTTCTTCCCTTTCCCCTTCCTATAGCTGCAGAAGCTCCAGTTGTTTCCATTAAGCAGATAAATGAGGTGCCCAAAGAGGGTTACTTTAACTGTTAGCAACAAAACCAGTTTAAACCGTGGGAGGAGTAGCTGTCCTTCCCCTTCACACCTTGGCCAGGTATGAGGCTGAGCGCCGAGCCATCCCCAAATCCTGCTGCAGAACCCACACTTCCTAAGCCCCCCAGTGAGGATCAGGAAGAGCTGCCTCCCTGCCTCCTCTGCCACCTCCGCATGATAATGGGACCCTCCTGAGGGCAGGGAGGGAGATGCACACGACCCCCCAAACCCATAATTTCCCAGTACCTTCGTCCTTCTGAGATTGGGGGCAAGAAAGCTATCCTAGCTGAGTCTGTTTCCTCACCTGCACAAAGAACTAAATCATACTTTACTGGCTGCAAAGAGAAGTAATTATACATGTACAATGCCTCGTACAGAGTAGACGCTTGTTAGGCTTTAGTTCTCTTCCTCTCCATGAACTTATTCCTCTCCCCAAAGGTTAATCCTGGGATAGGCTAACAAACATGAGGAACTGGACTGTGTCTTTCCATAAATTTAGAATTCACACACTCTTTTTGCACAAGGCTGAGTACCCCATTTGAGTCCCAGGCACTTGACCTCAAAGCACGTGTAGTGGAGAGCTAGACTAACCCTCTCAGGCTGGGCCAAGCAGTGTATTTAAAGCTCTTTATGCCTCCCCAAGCACCTGATTCACTGGCGAGCACTGGTCCTCCCTCAGATGCTCAGGATTAATATTTAGTCCCAGCTCAGGTGCCTGAACCAAGCTCAGTTGGTCTCAGAGTGAAAGGGGCATTTTGTTTGTCCCCAGTTCCTCCCACCACAGTCTGCCTTTGCTCTTTATGTGCCCCAGTGAAAACCCAAGGTCTTCTCCAGTTAAAATGGTAATTATGCTTTCCAAGTCAGCAGAAAGACCAAACCTTTCCCAGAACCTCCAAATGGAAAATATGAAACCTGGGCCATAAAAACCAGGCCCAAGCACAGCGAACTGGAATATCAGAAGCAGCGTGCCGTCGCGGAAAGAAGTTGGAGGTGGAGGACCTGGGAGAATTTCCACTCTGGCCTCTGCCCTTGGGGGGACTCTGGGTGAAGTTCCCTAACCGTCTGGTCTCAGCTTTCTCATCTGAATTATGGGATCAACACCCACCGTGCCGACTGCTGAGGCGCTGGCGAGCTGGAGCCTCCGTGGGCATTGTGTTCATTTATTAGCGGTCTGTTAGGTGCTAAGTGGCCAGAATAATTTATCCCATTCAATCCTCACACAAATCTTCTGAAGCAGGTCCTGTTATCTCCATTGGAAGAAGTGAGGCTCAAAGAGAGTGAGCAACTTGACCAAGACCACGCAGCTAGAGAGAAACAGATTGGGGATCACAGGCAGGTTTCTTCACCCCAAAACCTGTGCTCCCAGCCACAGAGCTTTAGAGGTTTCCACTGGAATGCAAGGGTCAGAACTGGAGTAACCTTTTGTGCATTCAGGTAGGAAAGCTGAGGCTCAGAGAGACTGTGACTTGCCCAGGACCATAACTGTATGTTTGTGACCATTCCAAAGTTGCAGCTCCAGTGCAGTCATAGGTGACATTCAGGGTCTCATGTAAAACTTTCCCCTTTGCAAGAGAAACCTTGTGCCCAAGGTACAGGGTACACAGCGACCTCTGTCTGTCTGGAGCAGTGTTCCCAAATGTGCCAGTGGTGGAACCTGCCCCCCCCCACACACACACACTGCCTTGGAGAACAGAGAATCGCCCAGTGGGAAAATTATTGTCTTTGCAATTCTTCAGTGTTGCTGATCATGTTGGAGGGCAAGAAAGACTCAGCTTGGTGCTGATGTTTTTAACACCTCTCTAACACCTATTCATCCCTGTTTCCAACGGAGAGATAGTCTATCTCAGGGTCACCTCCTCCAGCAGACAAAAGACCAGAGTACACAGCTAGAATAATATGGCTTGCTACTGAGGCCCTGAGGGTGGGTTCCGGTTGCTGACTTCTCCATCTGTCGAGGAGAACATTGCCCCTCTGTGGTGTGGTGGCTGTACCGACATCCTCCTGTATGTGAAAAGCGCACACACTCTGCACAACTCACCTTCTGGGTCTGGTCTGGTCTCTCCTCAAGCTGAGCCTGTCATTTCTGTCATTTAATAAGCAGGTATAGAGCGATTCTTATGTATCCAGAGCTCTTCACACGTATTAACTCGCTTAGTCCTCATCACAACCCTATGGGGAGGT